ATCCGGATGATTCCGGATCTCCTTACTTTCCGCCGCGCCCTCAAGACATGGCTTTTTCAGCAAGCGGGCCTGACCTAGGGAGGATTTTAGGTAGGGATAATTTTAAAAGTATTTTAATCGGAAACACAGCTGGTAATATTTGGTTTTAATTCGGCTTTTATCGGGGTTTATTTTTTTTTTGTATTTTTGTATTTTTGTACTTTGTATTTTTTGTATTTTGTGTATATTATTTGTTTTTAATATGCTGTGAACCGCCCTGAGTCCTATGGGAGAAGGGCGGTATACAAATTAAAATAATAATAATAATAATAATAATAATAACAATAATGGATCTCAGCTGGCTTCCATACTCTGGGGTGGGGGTGGGGGAAGAGCCCAGAAACTATGCCCAGAAGGAAAATGCTTAAAGCAAAGTACCTCAAATGGTCATTTGAAGAGGTGTGGGCTTCAACTCCCAGAATTCTGGGAGCATGACTGGCTGAGGAATTCTGGGACTTGAAGTCCACACCTCTTCAAATGGCCAAGGTTGAAGAACACTGTCTAAAAGGCTTAAACACAACAACAACAATCTCAGGGGTTGCCACAAAAAAGGGGGGATCAACCTATTCTCCAAAGCGCCTGAAGGCAGGACAGGAAGCAACGGATGGAAACCAATCAAGGAGAGAAGCAACCTGGAACTAAGGAGAAACTTCCTGACAGTCAGAACAATTAACCAGTGGAACAACCTGCCTCCAGAAGTTCTGAATGCTCCAACACTGGAAGTTTTTAAGAAGAGATTGGACAGCCATTTGTCTGAAATGGTGTAGGGTTTCCTGCCTAAGCAGGGGGTTGGACTAGATGACCTCCAAGGTCTCTTCCAACCCTGTTACTCTATCCTAACCTCCTCATTCAGGAACTGACTTCTCAGTCCCCCGTGAATTGTGCCCCTGAGCTTTCAGTCAAGAACAAAAACCTGCACAGCGTTAAATTTGAATCATGCGAAAAAGCTTGCCAATGATTGCCTCTCTCTAAATTTCTTGGCACAAAATTCGCACCCGCATCCTTGTCTTTTTCAGGTTTCTTTTCCCCAAGTTCCTGGACCAGTGTTCTCAAGGTCAGTATTTCTCCAAAATTGGCTTGTAGAGAGATGAACTGGCACATTTTTCCGGCTGCCTTCTCCGTGAGGCTGCAGCACCACGGCACCCATGACGCCCAGCCAAGAAAAAGCTGTGCGAGCTGGGGGTTATGGTAGTCGGAGTCTCGCTTTTCTAGAAGGCCCGTTTGGAGGAGTTAGCCATAAGGCCATAAGCAGCTAGAGCAGGGGTTTTCCAAAACTTGGCCACTTTTAAGACTTGTGGACTTCAACTCCCAGAATTCCTCCTGGCTAAAGAATTCTGGGAGTCGAAGTCCACCAGTTTTAAAAGTTGCCAAGTTTGGAAAAACCCCGAGACAGAAGAACAAAAAACAAAAATAAAAAACCAGTCCAGAGTGGTTGGGAATGGGGAGGAGGGGACTATAAAACTAATAATACATTTATCTTATTTTTGTGGCTCTTTGATAATATTTGCTATAATAGGTTAACAGGATTGCCTATGGGAAATGTATAAAATAAAATATAGGCAGTTCTCCGCTTACAGCCACAATTAGCACCAGATTTTCCTTTGTTGAACAAGTTGGTTGTTCACTCCCAATTTTATACCCCTTTGTGCCAAGCCAGGTTGTTAAGTGAGTCGTGCGTCTTTAAGCGAATCCAGCTTCCCTCATTGACTTCGCCCGTCACAAGCTGGCTGGGATGGTCATAAATAGTAATTACACCACACTGGGACACTGCAAATGTTATAAAGACCTATTACTCGCCAAACACCAACAATTCGATCACGCGACCGGAGATGATGCAACGGTCGTAAGTGCGAGAATCAGTTGTAAGGCACTTTTTTTTTCAGTTCTGTTGCAACTTCAAACGGTCACTAAATGGATGATTTTAAATCGAGGACTGTCTATAATTCCTTTCCGCTGCTGTTTATGGGTGGATCCGTTGGGAATTTTTCCTAGATTACCAGTAGTTTAGCAACTACATTCTCTTGCCAACAAGCCTATATAGGCAGTCCTCAACTTACAGCCGTTCATTTAGTGACCATTCAAAAGTTACAAGAGCACCAAAAAGAGTGACTTACGACCTGTCATGGTTCCGACAGATGAAACTCTTCAAAAGAACTTTGAGGCATGGTTTACCTTAAAGAATCTTTATTTGAGAAGCATAGCATCGGCACTAACACAGCCGAAGCCAAAAACTGAATTCCCCTCCCCTGAGCACCTAGTATCAAAGCACAATTCCCTCCTCCAATTAACAGTCATAAATCACATTCTCCAATTAGTTTGAAATGCAGGCCTTCCCTCCAGTTCTCCAGCCCGGCCAATCCTTATCATGTCTTATTTCAATAACCTTGGTTCTCACACTAGTTTCAGTATTGTTATGTCTAGCTAAACTTTCATGCACATTCCTACCCCCCCAGCATCATCTAACTCTAGCTCTAACTCTTAAGAGTAAAACATAAGAAGACAAGGGTTGCATCTCCAGCTGTTGTCAAAGCAAAACACCCAATGTTAGCAGTGTTGACACGACCATTGTACACACTTTTAGCATCCCCATGGTCTAAAGCAGTGTTTCTCAACCTTGACAATTTTAAGGCATGTGGACTTCAACTCCCAGAATTCCACAGCCAGCATTGTTGGCTGTGGAATTCTGGGAGTTGAAGTCCACATGCCTTAACATTGTCAAGGTTGAGAAACACTGGTCTAAAGAAAAGAAGAAACAGGGGAGACATGATAGCAGTGTTCCCAGTATCTGAGGGGCTGCCACAAGGCAGAGGGGATCACGTTGTTCACCAAAGCACCAGAGGAAAGGATGAGAAACAATGGTTGGAAGCTGATCAAGGAGAGAAGCAACCTGGAATTAAGGAGAAACTTCCTGACAGTGAGGACAATCAACCAGTGGAACAGCTTGCCACCAAAAATCGTGGGCGCTCCATCACTGGAGATTTTTAAGAAGAGACTAGACATCCACCTGTCTGAGACAGTGTAGGTTCTCCTGCTTGAGCAGGGGGCTGGACTAGAAGACCTCCAAGGTCCCTTCCAGCTCTATTCTATTTTAAGACACATGGCAAGTGGCTCGTATTTACAATGGTGGCAGTGTCCCTGGGGGGGTCACGTGATCCCCTTTTGCAACTTCTGACTGGCCAGGTCGACGGGGACGCCAGAGTCACTTAACAACCGGGTTACTAACTTAACAACTGCAGCGATTTGCTGAACAACCGGGGGGAAGAAAAGTGGTAAAATGGGGCACAAACTCACTTCACAAATAGGGAAGTGGGAAATTTGGGCTCAAACATGGTCGTACGTTGAGGACTATCCATACCTCCCAGGGGTTCATAGCAGGACACCAGAAGTAGCGTGGCCTTGGACATCAGCCACTGTCCGTTTCTAGAGGTCACTCTGGACTCCAGAGAGCAGAGCATTCTGGGAGAGCCCGGCCCTTACACAGATGGTCTCTTTTCCTCCGGCAGGGTTAGTGAGTAATGTCGTGTTCACAAGCCACGCCGCCGAGCAGAGAAGCCCGCTCCTGGTCCAGCTGCAGAAACTCATCCGAGCTGCCAACTCGTCCGTCTCTTTTATCCTGGCAGAAAACGGCATCGTAACTCGGTAATCGACAAAGCCTTTTAAAAATCCCAAAATGGTAAAGCTTGAGAAATAGCACGTGGCTGCATTTTCCCTGGAGAAAGGGTCAGCCATTGAGGTTATATCTCTCTCTCTATATATATATTAATTGTATCCCACCTTTATTGTTTTTATGAATAACTCAAGGTCGCAAACGTATCCAACTCTTGCTTCCTCTTACTTTCCTCCAGAACAACAACTCTGTGAGGTGGGTTGGGCTGAGAGGGAGGGACTGGCCCAAGGTCACCCATCTGGCTTTCATGTCTAAGGCAGGATTAGAACTCGCCATCTCCTGGTCATTGGCCCAAAGTCACCAGCTGGCTTTCATGCCTGAGACAGGGTTAGAATTCATGTCTCCTGGTGATTGGCCCAAAGTCATCCAGCTGTCTTTCGTGTGTAAGGCAAAACTAGAACTCACTGTCTCCTGGTGATTGGCCCAACGTCACTCAACTGACTTTCATGCCTAAGATGGAACTAGAACTCACTGTCTCCTGGTGATTGGCCCAAAGTCACCCATCTGGCTTTCGTGTATAAGGCAAAACTAGAACTCACTGTCTCCTGGTGATTGGTACAAAGTCACCCAGCCAGTTTGTATGCCTAAGGCAGAACTAGAATTCACCGCCTCCTGGTGACTGGCCCAAAATCACCCAGCCTGCTTTCATGCGTAAGGCAGGACTAGAATTCACTGTCTCCTGCTTTCTAGCCTGATGCCTTAATCACTAGACCAAGGGCTTTCTTTATCCTGCTTAGAAATCCTGCTTTAAGGTGCTGTGAAAGCAAAATTTTGTTAAATGTTAACAATATCTTGATTCTCTCCCACCAGGAATGAGGACATTGAGCTAATCCTTTCGGAAAACAGCTTCTCCGATCCCCAGATGCTGGCAACTCGCTATTTAATGTATCCTGGCTGGCAAGTATCCGTTGGGCAAAAAGGCTTTTACTACGCACATACAGATAGCCCTCAATTTACAACCATTTGTTTAGGGCAGGGGTCTTCAAACTTGGCCACTTTAAGACTTGTGGACTTCAACTCCCAGAATTCCTCAGCCAGGACAAATTCTGCGAGTTGAAGTCTACAAATCTTAAAAGTGGCCACATTTGGAGACCCCTGTTTTATAAGAACCAGGGCAATTTAGAGCAAGGGTCTACAACAGGTATGTCAAACTGCCGGCCCACGGGCCAGACGCGTCACGCCGAAACCGCGCCCATCCCATTGCCGGCAATGGGAAAGTTGCGATACGTCGCGTGACGTCACGTGACGTCGCGAGTTTGACATGCCCGGTCTACAAACTTGGCAACTTTTAAGACTTGTGGACTTCAACTCCCAGAATTCCTCCTGGCTGAAGAAATCTGGGGGTTGAAGTCCACTACATTCAATAGAACAAGGGCCTTCAAACTTGGCAACTTTTAGACTTGTGGACTTCAACTCCCAGAATTCCTCCTGGCTGAAGAATTCTGGGAGTTGAAGTCCACAAGTCTTAAAGTTGCCCCTGATTTAGAGGATTCCTCTCCCTACTTAATTGCCATTCATTTTCCTCCCCTTTAATGAATGCTCATATCTTATTTTATGTTAGGCTTCCCAGAATGCACTCCCGTTAACATAAACAGAGCCTTATCCCTTTTGGATACGGATTTTTAGGAATTTTTCTCCTCCGCTATTTGCAAAGCTTAATTTCCCTCTCTCAGGCCCAGCCCTTCCAGATGGAGTCCAGCACATCTGGAACTCTTCTCGCAATGTTTATGTGATCGCATGAAGTTGCATATTTTTTTTATTCTTTGTGTTCTGTTACGAGGTGCACACATTCAAGGCACTCCTTAACCGTCTTCTTACTTCATTTCATGAAAAATAACCACTTGCTCGGGCAGCCTAAATTAAGGACTGTAGTCTCCAGTTGAGACCAAACCAGGTGCAGTCAGACAGAACTATAGGTGGTGCTTGACTTAGCAATCATTCGTTTAGCGACCATTCAAAGTTACAACAACACTGGAAAAGTCACGTCTGATGGGTCCTCACACTTAACGACCATCGCAGAATTCGTGATCAAAATTCAGGCCTTTAAGGCGATTTTTCTGATTTTCAAAAAGCGATCGGTAATTAAGAGTGAATTTTTTCCTTTGAAAAGTTAATATTTCTCCCCCCCCCCTTTCAGGTTTGATGGGAAATTTAGAGCCGGTTCTGCCTTCCCTCCCATGGTCCAGATTTGTGTGTGGTTTAACCGCCCTTTGGAGAAAATGCGCTTTGCAGCCAAATGTAAAGGTAAAAGATCATTTCTTCAGCCACATGTGTGTATTTTTTTCCTCTGGAGTGGCTAACAAGAATTTATATATGGCTGAAACTGTTCATTGGCAAATGCAGCCTCGGTAAACTTCAGATGAAATACGTTTACTATCCTTTTTCTGGTTTTAAAGCTCCCTAGTAATGCAATTATTTTCACATTACTGCAGCCGATCCTAGAATATACTTCTTTAAAAAAAATTAAATGGTTTTCTTGCAGCGAGTTCTTCCCTCTTGACATTAAAGATCATCATCCTTGCCATTGTCTTCATCGGTGGTGTGTTTTTTAGCTTGTAAAGAAGTAATAATAATAATAATAATAATAATAATAATAATAATAATAATAATAATAATAAGAAGAAGAAGAAGAAGAAGAAGAAGAAGAAGAAGAAGAAGAAGAAGAAGAAGAAGAAGAAGAAGAAGAAGAAGAAGAAGATGATGATGATGATGATGATGATGATGATGTTGGAAGGGACCTTGGAGGTTATCTAGTCCAACCCCCTGCTCAGGCAGGAAACCCTATACCATTTCAGACAAATGGCTGTCCAGTCTCTTAAAAACTTCCAGTGTTGGGAGTAAAATGTGTTTCTCAATCTTGGGGACTTTAAGAGGGGTGGACCTCAAACTCCCAGAATCCCCCAGCCAGCAATGCTGACTGGGGGGTTCTGGGAGTCGATGTTCACCCCTCTTAAAAGTCCCCAAGGTTGAGAAGCACTGCTCTAATCTTGATTTATTGTCTTTTCAAACAGCTTTGAAGTCATCTAACAAATCGAGTCCGTTCTCTGGAAACATATACCACATTTTTGGCAAAGTCAAGTTTTCAGGTAAACGTTTTAGCCTCAACCTCTCTCCCTCCCTTTTCAGGATTCTTTTATCCTCCATCTTTCCAATTGTCATCTGATAGTACCTCTTTTAATGCTTGTATTTACGCTCAGTCACTTACCGAGTCTCAATGGGTGTCTCAGTTTTGGAACTGAAGGAAGTAATTGGAGCACAGAAATAGGGCTTTTATACAGCTGCGATACTCTCCGGGCAAAATTTGGGGTAACAGCCCCCCAGATCTGCTTGGCTGCATGAGTGGGAACCCCCCCCCAACTCAGCACATCTGCCAGATCTATCTGCCATAGAAGTGAAAGAAATGAAATTCCCCTTATTTCTGTACAGGTAGTCCTTGAGTTATGAACATAATGGAGCCTGCCCATTACAGTCGTAATTCATGACAGTTATAAGCTCGGTCACGTGACCGTCCCCAGTTTTATGACCTATTTTGCGGTGGTTGTTAAGCAAATCTGTGGTTGTTCAGCAACCTCGTTGAGTGAAACAGTAGTTTGCTATGATTTATTTGTGTGATTATATCCCGCCTTTATTATTTTTTGCAAATATCTCAAAGCGGCGAACATATTTCATGTCTAAGGCTGGACTAGAACTCTCAGTCTCCTGCTGATTGGCCCAACTGGCTTTCATGTCTAAGGCGGGACTAGAACTCACCGTCTCCTGGTGATTGGCCCAAAGTCACCCAATT